TCTGTGGGGGGATGTCCAGTTGTCTACAGATGGTCCACTCCAACCCCCCTCGTTCACATTGATATAATTGTTTGGTTTGGATCTTTGGGTACCTGATCCCTGGTCCCATCAATACTTCAGTATCACACAGGCTGCTATGCTTCTTCCATGTGAGCTTGTTGCTTCCCTGTTAGATAGCTGCTTGTTTAACTTCAAGCATTTAAGACCCTAGACCCTATATCTTTTGATAACCAGGCACTATCCAGTTTCTTCACCACTTTGCTTATGCACCCATTTTGTCTTCAGTGATTGTGTCAGGAATGTAAGTATCAAAGAGTGCCTGGTTATTAGAACAAAGTGTTCTTGTGTTTAGGGAGGCCTTGAGTAGAGGCCCAAAGTCTGTCTATTATCGTAATACTTAACATATACATATATGTACATTGGTCTCCATCCCTTTCAATATGAATTAATATATTTACATATATACATGCCTATAGCTATACCTTCATAAATAGATTTTGCTTCCTACGTCTTTCCTCTATTTCCTTTCCCCTTTCTCCTGTTCCACTATCATACTCACCCTCCACTTGGCTCTCAGTAATTCCTCTTGGATACACTATACTTGATCAAACCCCACCAAGCCTCCTTGCCATCATTTGTAGATCTCTTGTTGTTCCCTTATTCCTTAGTTTGTTGGCTCCCTGCTCTTCCTCCCCACTCCATACTCTCCCATATCCATCTCCCACCCCCCTACCCCCGCTTCCATGGGACTGCCAGTCCCACTGTTTTCTCCTTGGGATTGTTTGTCCTGCCTATCTTATATAAATAGACATAGGGCAAAAGAAAAAAATTTTAAAACCCAGTAGATAGTTCCAGGTCTGTCTGCTGACCCTTATGAGCATTTTCCAATCAGGTCTGAGGAGGTGCCACGCTCTGTCCCCCGAGTCAGAAGTCTGTTTTCAGGATTCCTCAGGGACTGGGTTACTTTGCTCCCCTAGCTGCCTGTTGCACTCTTTTTGCATTTCACTCCACTGTGCATGGGACAGACTAGGCACACTTTCCACACAGCATCTCCAGTGCTGTCCCCCACAGTGCTATGGGTCAGTGAGGGAATGTTGTTTTCTCATGGTGGGGGGCCCCTGCAGTTATCTCAGTGCATTGGCTGCTCCAAACAGGGATATTGTCCCCAGGGCTTGGTGGGCATGATGAGGTCCACTTTTCTCTCTCTTTCCCTCTTAGTTCACACCCATGTGGTCTGGACAGACTCGCCACTCTCCCCAGGCTATATCTTCATTGCTGTCCTCTGTATTACATTCTTCTGGGGAGGAGGTCAACATAGCTCCCATTGGGCCCGGCCCCATTGTCCCCTCTGTTAGTTTGTTGCTCCGTGCTAGGGACTCTTTTTCATGGGATGTATAATCCCTTACTTTGAATGTCATTGGCATCACCAGTGGCACAGAAGGTTAAGAGTCAGGCTGCTAACCACAACGTCAGTAGTGCAAACCCACCAGCCACTCCACTGAATGGAATGACTTTGTTCCAGCATCTCAGGGCCTTCATTGAGATTCCATTGTGAGGACCTGTCATAAACTCCATTGCATCTTTTCCCACCCGACATCTCAAGTTTTGTCTGCGGGATCATATAGCTAAAGCATCAAGGCTGCTTGTCCTACAGCCAGAACTGTCCTATCCCAATGAAAGCTGATAGCATTTGATAGCTGATTGAAAGTTGATAGCATTCCATATTATCTCAGTATATGGCTAACATCTGTTACCTTCAGAGCCTGAAAAGGTCTACTAGGTACTATATATACTTTCTTTTATGTGGTGTAGGATGTTATTCACTTTAGATAGAATATCCTGGAATACCCCCAAATTGGGCCCCAAACTTTTGACTAAAGTGGTAGGTCCTTAATCTGCCATAGATTTTATCTTCCACCTTTTGGAGCATGTGCCTTACCAACACCATCATCATGCTAGTAACCTTTTAACAATTCTCCTTACTCAGCATGATGTCATCCATGCAATGTAATGAGTCAGCGTGGTATGCCTTGAGATGATTGGCATCATACTGCATTATGACAGATGATAACATGATTTGACAAAATTATGAGGCAAATTGTAAATAACTATGTTACATAGAAATGTGAAATCTTTCTGATCCTCCTTCTTGATTGAGATTGAAAGGAATACATTTGGGCCGGCCCCAATCCCAACTACGTGGACACCCCCCAGTCCCTGCAGGAGAATTCACTTCAGAGGACAGCACTGAAGCTACAGCTCAGGGAGAGGGACATGTCTGACCAGAGCATACGGGAACAAATGAAGGGGGAGGAAGAGAGAGTGGAGCATATCCTGGCCCACCAAGCCTTGAGGATGATATTCCTGCTCAGAACAGCCAATGCACAGAGAAGACCATATGGCTGGCTCCACTATGAGATACGAAATCCCACACTGACCCATCGCCCTACAGGGGACAACACTGGAGACACAGTATGGGAATTGTGCCCAATCTGATGCCACCACACGAAGGCAAAACACTAAGGGGGTGCAACAGAACAGCAAGGGGAACAGAGCAAAGAAGTCTCCAAGGAATAACAAAAATAGACTTTGGGGCCAGGGCTTGGCACCCCATCAGACTCGACCGGAAAACACTCCTAAAGGCCAATAAACAGTCCTTGAACTAACTACAGGCTTTTCTTTGTTGTTGTTTGTCATTGGCTTTTTGGTATTGTTGTTTTGTTTTCTTTTGCTCTGTCTTGTTTTTGTGCATGTTATTATCTCCGCAGGTCTGTCCAAATAAGATAGGCTGGATGAATAATCTGGAGGAGAAAACAATGGGACTGACAGTTCCAGGGGGCCATGGGAGAGGGGGTGATGGGGAGAAAGGAAGTGGTGTTAACAAACCCAGGGACAAGGGAACAACAAGTGATCCAAATTGGTGGTGAGGAGGGTGTAGGAGGCCTGGAAGGGCATGCTCAAGGGTAAAGTAACCAAGAGGAATTACTGAAACCCAGATGAAGGCTGAGCATGATAGTGGGACAAGAGAAAAGTAAAAGGAAATAGAGGAAAGAACTAGGAGGCAAAGGGCATTTATAGAGGTCTAAATAAAGGCATGTACATATGTAAATATATTTATATATGATGATGGGGAAATAGATTTATGTGCACATATTTATGGGTTTAGTATTAAGGTAGCAGATGGACATTGGGCTTCCACTCAAGTACTACCTCAGCGCAAGAATACTTTGTTCTGTTAATTTGGAATTCCATGATGCTAACCTTCCCGACACGATTGCTGAAGATAAAGTAGGTGCATAAGCAAATGTGGTGAAGAAAGCTGATATGGAGCCCGGCTATCAAAAGATATAGCATCTGGGGTCTTAAAGGCTTGAAGGTAAACAAGCAGCCATCTAGCTCAGAAGCAACAAAGCCCACATAGAAGAAGCACACCAGCCTGTGTGATCATAAGGTGTCGAAGGGATCAGGTATCAGGCATCAAAGAACAAAAAATCAAATCGTTGTGAATGAGGGGGAGTGCAGAGTGGGGACCCAAGACCTATCTGTAGGCAACAGGACATCCCCTTACATAAGCATCGCGGAGAGTAGATGAGGCAGTCAGGGTGCAGTGTAGCAATAGTGAAACACAACTTTCCTCTAGTTCCTAAATGCCTTCTCCCTGCCCCCACCCACCCACTATCATGATCCCAATTCTACCTTACAAATCTGGCTAGACCAGGGATGTGCACTGGTACAGATAGGACCTGGAAACACAGGGAATCCAGGACAGATGATCCCTTCAGGACCAGTGCTGAGAGTGGCAATACCAAGAGGGTGGAGGGAGGGTAGGGTTGAAAGGGGGAACTGATTTTAAGGCTCTACATATAACCCCTCCCTGGGGGATGGACAACGGAACAGTAGGTGAAAGGAGAGGTCAGACAGTGTAAGATATGACAAAATAATAATAATTTGTAAATTATCAAGGGTTCATGAGGGAAGGGGAGTGGGGAGGGAGAGGGAAAATTTAGGAGCTGATACCAAGGGCTCAAGCAGAAAGCAAACATTTTAAGAATGATGATGGCAACAAATGTACAAATGTGCTTGACACAATGAATGGATGTGTGGATTGTGATAAGAGTTGTATGAGCCCCCAATAAAATGATTAAAGAAAACAGAAAGGAATACATTTGCCAATTCAATGGCCACATATTATATTCTAAGGCCACATTAATCTAGTATAACAATAATACTAATGTTCAGTATGGCAGCTGCAATTGGGATTCTACAGATATTCTCTAGAATCTCTCTGCTTCCTGCAAGGGCCATTCTGGCAACGTAAATGAAATTATTGTAATAATCACTACCCTGAATCCTTTCCATTTTCTTTTTTAAAATCTTCAAATATGGCATCACCTCCATCTTCCCATCTGATGCTGTACAGGGATGGGGCATTTTCAAAGGATTCTACTTGGCCTTCCCCAGTATAACATCTACCAGACAGATAAAACACCCAGTGTGGAGGTTACTCCAACTACCAAATATATCAAGCCAACCATAAACTGAGGACCACTGGTTTGATCTATGCTTCCTATAGACCAGTGTAATCCAGATCTTGTCCATGATTACATTTATTACTTCCATGTGTCTCCACTCTACTATGAGAACCATGATGAGATCTCAGGTCTCTAAGTATCAGTATCGCTTCAACCTCTTTGTTCAAAAGTCCTCAAAATATTTGAGTGGCCCCATTTCTTTAGTCAGTTACTCAAGTAAATGACCATAGATCCCTTTGTTAGTTGCCCTTAAATTTTCCTTATTTGACAAGAAAGCATCACAGCAACTTAGTAATAACCATCCCTCTTCCATTGTCCTTAAATTTAACATTACCCCATATATTTACTTGCACTTGTCAGTGTATTCCATTTCTCCTGGATACCATTCTCGACTCACCATTGGGAAAAGTTTTAACAATCGGGCTGACCCTTTGTGCCAGGAGCTGTCTGTGCATCCTTTTCTTTCAGAGATGGAGTCTTCCAGCAGAGGAGTAAGTGATCAAATCTTACTTCCTGCTTTCTGGAACCAACTGTGTCAGATGGAATTCTCCAGGAAACAGACATCAAGACAGAGTTGTAAGTACAAAAGTTTTTAGTAACGCCTGTGCACAGAAAGTAGAGAAAGTAGGCACGGGCAGAGGTAGAATTTTCAGAGTTCAATGTCAACATGACCTAGACTCTGTCAGCCCAACATGAAATCCCAGGACACATAATTGATATAACAATTGCACCCTTCTTGACCAGCAAGTTTGCTTTGCAAGTCATAACAATATAAATGAATGGCTACAAAGAAAGTCACTTTAAAAGGGACAGAAAAAAATCCATGTTTATAATTTTTATTATCTAAATTTTAATTTAATTTATTAACTTTGAAGAATGGTGCCAATGTCCTTACACAAAGATGCATAAATAATCTGATAAAAAAAATAAACGTAATGTTCTGAATACCCTTTGTTGCTTTCTTGGAAGACAAATTTAGAAACCCATTCATTGTTGCAAAGTGGAAACATTTATGCATGATAAATAATGAATTTTATGTCCTCAAAAAAGGGGGGAAAAGCCCCAGATTCCTAAGCGCTTATACCACTGACTTGTTCAGTCATTGGGCAAACCTCTCTGGGAAATGCATGCCAACAGCTCAAAAGTTAAGGTAAACTCCCGTGAAGCTAACAGCTGGAGGCAGAAGGTGATTAGCTGAACACATTCATCACAGCTGAGAAACAAGTCATTTTCAAAGGGGATCTTTATGTCTGCCACTGTTCATGTCCTCTCTGCATACCCACTCTACCCACATCCCTAGACATCCTGAGCTTCTCTGAAGTGTACAATACAAACAGCGTCCTTCTTTATGGATCACCCTGCACATGAAGATGCCTCCGTTTCATAGTCCCCCATCTGGCAAAGTCAGGTTGTCCATCTGCCTTCCATTCTCCAAAATTCCATTAACGTTTGCCCTCTACTGTCTTCATATCTGTACTTTTCGTGCTTGTGGACAGACTTTTTGAATTTTGTATTAGGCATGTAGCTCAGGGTTTGGCAGACTTTTTCTATAAAGGGCGATATATTAAATATCTTAGGCTTTTCAGGCCACAAGCATCCCTGTCATGTATGAGGGAGCTTCCAAGAATTCTTGGGGAAATGGAATTTTTTCATGAGCTTTCTGACATTCCCTTGTACTCTTATTTTTTAACCTTCCCTTTTAAAATGTACAAATCATTCTTCACTCAAAGGTCATTTAAAGGAGGGTGGGGTGGGGTGGGGTGGAGCTTGGCTGTGGTTCACCAATCTGTGACCTAAAGTGAGACTTTATCAAAATGTGATCCATAAATTAGCAACATCATCAACACCTAGGACGTGATAGGAATGTTGACTCTCAGGTCCTACCTCAGAACTGCTGGATCAAAATGGAACTTTAAGAAGCTCCCCCAATTAATTCACATACACTTTAAAGTTTAAGAAGTATTGCTCTAGAGAGATTTTGGAGAGGGAGCAGAGATAAACATAGATGTTCAACCATGCTTAACCATAATTCCCCTTTCATTATTTAACCTGATTTGAGTTCCGGTTTGTAATACAGTATTTGCTAGTGGAGGCATGTTAACTCATAACTCCTTGCAAATTACTTCACTTTTCGAGATCTTAAATTCTTCTCCATAACATTAAATAATTTAATTGGAGGATATTTATGGGTCTCTTAAAGCTTTCAAATTCAGTGACCCTTTGCTTCTAGTTTGGGGAAGGACTGGAGGAGGAAAGAGAACAGAACTGCTGGGCAGAAAGCAAAAGTGAAAAAACCTGAGGTGTAGAGAGGCCAAGACCCTATTCTTGGATCTTATCATTTACTTAAAGATTTTTATTTCTCAGAACAAAAGTAGATATACCATGAAACTCAGAAACCTAAGATCAGGCAACCTAAGATTCATGATCCCTTAGTTGCACAAACCCCTTTAAAGCTCTGTACTTAATTTTATATCCATGGTGTTATATTGTTTTTCTTAAAGAGATTCCCCCCCCCCAAACTGCATCAACTCATGACCCTACAAAAGTTGAATCTGCCCAATTTCTGAGACTTAATAAGAAATCATTACCAGAACAGTGCACAAAAAGAGATTGAGAACAATAGCCAGACTGTCTGGAGTTGAGTTACTAAGCTTCTCCCCTAAGGCTTCTCATATAAGGAACTGAATGAGTCCTGTGATCTAGAATGTGGGTGAGTCAACAGGTGGATTTAAATTGCTCCCAGCCTCAAGGATGTATAGGAAGTGAAACAAGCTAAAAATCATCTTGGCCAAGTCAGATCTACGGGCTTAATTCAGTCACTGCTACAGAATCAGAAGAATGCATAATCTTACTGACTAACCTTGATCGAGCGCTTTCTCGATACTAAATAGTATACTAAACACTCACATTATCTCATAAGACCCTATGGATTACAATGATCTGATCTGCAGCCCATCATGGGACTGGTGCGGGACTAGGTGGCTTTTCACTCCATTTTGCTTCGGGTTACCGTAAGTTTGGGACCAACTTGACAACAGGACACACCCAGAAGTGTGAATCAGAAGTAAATTTTTAAAAGCTCAGCAATAAGAACAGCAACATCAATCTTGTCAAGCCTGTGAGTTCAATAACATTGCAGTTTTTATAGATGAGGAAACAGATCTGAAGAGGAGGACCTGCCCAAGGTCATATACCAGTAAATGAGATCCATTGAAATTCAAAACTACACGTCTGACTCCAACCCTGACCCTTAATCACCATAATTGCATCCAAAAAGTGCTGTTCAAAAACTGTTGTGAGATTTTAAGAATACAGACAACTTTCTTCTACTCAGTTTCCCCTGCTTTGAGCAACCCATACCACCTCACACACACTGTGGTTTAAAACTCCACCGCAATGACAATAGTGGTTTATCTGTGAAACTGTTGTTTAAAATCTAATCCCAAAGGCCTCCAGGATGAAGATCAACAACATTAACGTGCTATGCCAAGTTTCACCTATTCATTTTGATTTTTAGTTTCACAGATTAGTAATAGCAATGCTTCCTTAGAAATCTCCACAGTTGTGTTACAATGATGACTCTGTTTGCATTAGAATGCTGCCTGGCAGGTGTGAGGAGAATGTTCATCAGGGTGAAAGCCCAAAAATGAGAGACAGAGAGAGGGAGAAGAGATCATAATAAACGCAAAGAATTGAGGATTAATACTTTGTCCAAGAAAAAACAAAGACAGTAGTTTCTTCTTCCTGTCGTATTCCCCTTCACTTCTGTCTAGTATAATCGTTAAACTAGAACTTACATGTCAACTTTCTTTCCTCTTCCTTCTAACCACAGGCCACAGCTCCTTTAAAGAACACAATTGTAGTTCCCGCTTACTTTGGTATATGTCACTACGTCTTACTCATGGGATTACCAGTATAAATCGCATTCCAAACCAAACTCACTGCCGCTGAGTCGATTCACACTCGTAGTGATCCTATAGAACAGAGTAGAGCTGCCCCTTTGAGCTTCTGATATTTTAAATCTTTAGAAGAGCCTCATCTTTGTCCCAAGGAGAGACTGATGGGTTCAAACTGCTGACCCAAGGCTCCTTCATCAGAATACCAACTATCCCCTATTATCTAGCCTCTGATGAAACTTTGCATGCAATGAGCGAACAGAAAGAACTTTCACTATAGTTTCCACAGTCAGCGTTTCTTCTGGAAAGATGACAATGTAGTGGAATCTCTGGACTTTGTAGCATTAGTGGTGTTGTGGTAACTCGTTCGGCTGCTAACTACAGGGTCAGCAGTTCAAAACCACCAGCGGCTCCACAAAGAAAGACCAGGCTTTCTGCTTCCATAAAGAGTTACAGTCTTGGAAACCCACAGGGACAGTTCTACCATGTGCTATAGGGTCACTGTGAGTTGGCATCAACTTGATGGCAGTGAGTTTGGTTTTGGTTTTGGATGTCAGTGAGGTATGTGTAAATATGTAAGTAGAACCTGTTAAACATAATTCCTGCTTTAAAACATTTCTGAAGTTTGGCTAATTTGCACACCTACTTCCCACAGTGGTTTCTCAAAATCCCCTTCATTAAGACGCTAAAACTCAGTCTATCATTTTCAGAAAATGAACTATATATACTTCTATTTTACTAAAAACAAAAGGTCATTGGTCTCACCTTCTCCATCTGTCCTACTTTCGATATCTAAAGATTACAGCAGCTATCTTGCCTTCCTTTCATCCTGTCTCCTATCACAGTTAAGCTCTCTGCCTCTCTCCTCAACCATTATGGTAGTTACATAATGTCATGTCAACTTGAAGATATATGAGTATAAAAGTGTAATGGTGATAGTCAGCCTGTCAATCAGTTCACAGCCTGATGTTGCTTCTGTAGTGTGGCCTCTCTCTCTGCCTTCACTTCCTGGTTGGCTGACCCTGATTGCTGCCAGAGCCACTGCCATTGGGATCCAAATGACCTTGCACCCACTAGCCTGTTTTTTCCTGCATTCCACATCATTACATGTGACTGTGTGAGTCTGAAGAAGGACTTATGGACTAGTGTCGGACTTACGGACTTGTGTTGGACTGGGCTGGGATTTCTTCCTGATATATAACTACATCTTTTTTCTTTTTAAATCATTTTATTGGGGGCTCCTACAATTCATATCACAATCCATTCATACATCCATGTGTCAAGCACATATGTACATTTGTTGCCATCATCATTCTCAAAACATTTGCCTTCTACCTGAGCCCTTAATATCGGCTGCTCATTTTTCCCCCTCTCTCCCCACTTCCCCTCCCCCATAAACCCTCCACAATTCATAAATTATTATTATTTTGTCATATTTACACTGTCCGACGTCTCCTCCTGCCCTCTTCTCTGCTGTCCATCCCCCAGGGAGGAGGCTGTATGTGGATTCTTGTAATCAGTTCCCCCTTTCTACCCCACATTCCCTCCACCCTCTAGGCATCACCACTCTCACCACTGGTCCTGAAGGAGTCGTCTGTCCTGGATTCCCTGTGTTTCCAGTTGCTATCTGTACCAATGTACATCCTCTGGTCTAGCCAGATTTGTAAGGTACAATTGGGA